TGAAGTCAGAGTAACACATGTAAGATGATCGTTTTATTGTGCGGTTATCTGAAGAGCTCCACCGATCTGCAGCATTATTTACACACAGATATTTTAATTTCCTGCTGGCCTGACACTTATAGTCTTTCTCTTTTTGAAGACTTTCTTAAAAGTTGCTCAATTGGTTTGTCTTTCTAACCTTTCCCAGCAAAAACAAAAGTTTCCTAGTACCTTGCATGTTTCGTTAATGTCTATTCCCAACAGATAGGCGTAACAAGTATTAGCACTATTGTCTAGAAATCCCTTTTTAGCCGTTTAATCTGAGAATGACTCTCCTCTTGCATTCGTGCTGATTCATGCTTTGGACGTGGGATAAATACACCAAGACACTGATGATGAATCTATGAGCCCTGGTGGCTTAGGAAACAATTGCTGCTCCTGTCTTCTGCTGCGAAAGGGGTTACGGTTTATTTTTAACCTGCTTGTGATTTATTTAGATGTCTGCGTTCCTGAAGCTGAAGAGAAGTCAGCTGAAGCTCTCTCGTGTTCCCCAACTTCACCAGTGGCTTGTATTGAAATGGGTGCTGTGTCCATCGATGAAGTTCCTTAGAAGTCGATTGCTAAATATCCAAATGTTATTAGTATGAATCATGAATTATGCTGATTTCTGTCTGTTTGACACATTCCACAGTATGTTTCAGTACAATCCCCATTGAGAATCCTCCTCCTGATCAACCATAGAGGAGACTAAACAGCATGCTGTCTACGCATTTATTGCCAATCCCCTGCTGAGGCCTTTTCTGACCATTTAAAAGCTGCAATAAATCTTACTGAATAGTGACCAGACTCTCCAGGGGCGATGTTTTTGTACGACTTAGCCATGGAAAAAGATCACCACTGTTTATGACCTTTTTATAAGACATCTGTGAGTAAGTAAATATTTATTTTTAAGATCATAAGGGAATGGCCTTGGTGCAGTATGGCTGTGAAATTGTATTCAAATCAAGGTTCAGTATCTCTAATAGGAGGTTTTTAATTGAGAATGTGTGAACTTTCCGTCTGTCAGTTCAAGCCTGTGTTTTAGAGCAAAGTTCAGACTAAACAGGAATTATCTATTTTAATTGATTTTACTTTTGTTTCAGGTAAATTTCCATGCCAATGAATAGCAGCTTGTCTTATTTCTATTAACTCATTGACGTATTTGTCTGAGACCCTCTATTCGACTGGGAATTACTGGATAACAAAAATAGCTAGAAACAAATTTATTATGAAAGAAGACAATCCAGTCTTTCAGAATCCAGTTTCATATTTCACATCGTCTTAGGAAATAATATTCTGTGAGTCTTGAGAATCAATGAAATCATCAAAAACGGCCGGCAGTCAATGAGTTAAGGATATTATTTATTTTATTTTTCAGCCGATAAAGAAGTCTGTATTAGGTCATTTTGCCCAGCCCTATGTAGTTCTATAGTTTAAATAAATGCAAATGTTTTCCAGTTGACTTTGGAGCGAGATGTAGGCGATACTCCTAATGGATTGGACAGCAGCCTAATCTGGCCTCATGTCGAGCGCAGTGATCTCGCTCTCATCACAGGGTCTTGCAGGCCGGCTGATTATCTCCATAAGTGCCCTGCTCCATGCCAAGGACTAAATGAGACAAGTCACTTTGAAGACATGACTTATCCAAAGCCCTCCGCTAAACTCCAAAACATCTCTCAAAGTCACAGACTGAGAACATTTACGACCAGCTCCATGCGCTGCCCTTGTGCTGACCCAGCCCAAGCGGCCGATGTGTCTGAACATCTTTTCTGTCCCTCAGCAGATGCAGATATTAAAAACGGAACCTCGAGGGAGGGACATGAGGTTAATGAATCTGTAGCCTTAAGCAATATGGCGCCTTGTTCCAGCCTCCAAGAGACAAGGGCCAGTGCACACTGTCTGTGACAACCAGATGGGACCTGGGCTCACAGGGGCCCTGGTCTACAGTAAGATTAAGAAATGGTTTTAATTATGTTGTTTTTCAGCCCCTCATGTTATATAATCAATTCAATCAACATTTTAGGCTCAAAATAAGAGAAGCAGTCGCTAGAGGAGGTAATTGATTTGACCAGAGCCATTGTTCATAGTAATCAAACCGATTATATTTTATTGTTTTGATAGTGGGCGACAGTAGCTCAGTTGGTAGAGCATTGGCCTTTGGGCCTGAAGGTCGTGGGTTCAAGCCCACCATAAGACCTACTTCACGACTCTCACTGATGACTGCTGTCGTTGTGTCCTTGGGCATGACACTTAACCCAACTTTGCCTGAAGCTCCCACTGAAAGATCTCAGCTCCTGTGGACTCACCACCTGCAGGAGGATCAGTGAGGGGCTGGTGCTCTGTGTACTGGGTGCAGCTCTGACTGCCACCCCCCCGACCCAGAAATGGATTAAGGGGAAGAAAATGGATGGATGGATGGATGTTTTGATAGTGTGTTATAGTGTTAGCATGTTGGCCCAAAATATTAAATATGGGTAAAGGAGGAAACGTAACATCCGTTTATATAAGCGAACATTTGTATCTATATATTAGAAAATGTGTTTGTTCCTAATATAAAAAACAGAGAAAAACATTATTTTGATAACACCTGTGTCCATATGAACAAAAATCCTCACTCATTGTAAATCACCAAACAGCTTCTTTCTAGTTTTGCTTTGATGACACCATGACCATTGTTTTGCTTCTATGGATGTTTCACATTAACTTTTTGAAGCTGCAGGAGTTTTACTTAGTTACGCTGTTTTTGGCCGCTGCCCTTTGACTTGACCTCTTCACTTAAACATTCATGTTGAAGCTATGGTATGTAGATTGACCAATTCTAAAACATTTTTGCATTTTTGACAAAGAAAGTCTCCCTCAGAAGCAGACCCCTTCCTTTCATTTCATTAAAGTTTAAAAGACCTCTTACGTTACATAAGGACTTTCCCTGGGAACATGGAGACCTGGCCGATGGGGCTGTCACGCTTGTTGGTGCGGACTCAGCAGGGAGGAGGAGCCCCGAGAGAGACGAGTGACTGGGCAACTTAAGTTATAGTCACATATTTAGAACTGATGGAAACACGGTAATATTACGCCACAATAATGAGTTTTGGTGAACAATATATTGAAATTATTTAATGCTGCTGATGCTGGTACAATACAGCTGGATAATCCTACTTTAGCAATTGTTTATTTACCCAAAGAAAAAAACCCATAGCTATCTATATTCAACCCTCTGCTGTGAAAATGCCATCGCTTTACCAAAATATTAGCAAAAACAGGTGGACTTTTGCTAAGAAAATGTACAGACGTTAATTGTTGAGCCAATAATTTTGTTTTATCCAGCACTAATTGAATGCTTGGTCAATATAGTGTTAAACATGACAAGTCTAGAGGATGTTTGGTCTTGCTAAGCTTAAAATTGTCTTTGGTGCCATTTAGCTGGAGCTGAAAAGATAAAACCACAGCAGCCACTTCTGTAAACTGGCTTGCCCTTTGATGATGGCGTATGTTTGACTACTCCCCGACTGCGCTGCCCCCGACTGGATAAAAGTGCCCCTCTGACCTACACCCCATTCACCATAAGTTGACTTTATTAGCTACCATAAACATTTCATTGGAGGTCTTCAGAGACTTGGCTCGGTGATGCATGCTCACTCCAACAACCCTACCCATGTTCTGAGCCGTGTTTATTTTCTTAGCTTTACTACCTATGTGGGAGTAGAAGAAAGTTGTCGTACCTTATCCTCTTGTTATGTTGGGTTATTACAATGATAAATACGTTTGATGAGAAATCGCAGGCATCGGTTTTTTTCACCACGTTTACAAAGTACTTTGAAAACCGGATGTTTTCATTATTTAAAGACGAAATATTAAGCATAATTTTTGGTCATTTAACAGTGATGAAGTGCATCTTTTCATGTTCTGAAAGTATATCTGAAAGGGACCGTACGTAATATTTGTGCGTCTTTAATATGTGTTACCAAACAATAGCTAATGTACAAATCATATTTGACCTTTTCTGAAAAAATGTAATGTCCATAATATTAATGTTTACAGTTCAAGAGGATTATCCAATAAGAGAGCAGAATGAGTTTGTTAGAGCCAAAACCATTTACATTTCACCTTCTATTTTTTTAATTTAAACAACAAAAGTTACACAAAAAATAGCCCCTCAAATTAGTTTAAACAAAGGCTGAAAAAAAAAAGTAGTCATATGTAATTCAGCTCAACTCCAGCAGGTGGATGGCATCAGTAAACAGTGCTTATGAGCAGAAAGATTCTGGCAGCAAATATTTGGGTTGTAGTTGAAATGACTTCATTAGACCACTAACGGTGCATATAACACACTGTCCCTTTAACTAGAAAACAATGATGAAACAAGTTTGATAATGACACAGAAGAGTGCATTTTGAACGTACTCTTCTGCTTTGTAAATGTACTCTATACCTTTACACTCAAACGGAAGAGAAGAAAGTGTTAAAATTACAGAGGCTGCCTTTGGAGGATTCTCTTTCCTCATTTACAGCCAGAAAATTAGAGCCAAGTGGATATTATACTCTTGAGGACGGAGCAGATGGTGGAGTTCTTAAATGCATAGCCTAAAACTAAAAAATGTAGATGCTTTTAAACATACGTGTGAAGTGCACTTAGATACATGTGTTTTCCAAGTTGGTGGTCGGGATGAAGTTGATTTAGTTCCGCGATGTGGTGTCAGTGAGGAGTAGCGGAGTTATAAATGTTTCACACTGTACAACTGTATTATTAAAACGTCATGACAAAAAGATGAGTGCGATTGTGCGTTGGTTCGTGTTTCTTTAACCTGATTAATGCTTTACAGCTTAATTGTTAGCACACGGAGCAGTGCAAAGCCAATAGTAGTTCATGCTTGCTATGGTGAACCGCAGAGCACTTGGATACAGATCTGTAGTTTTAGGTTTAATCTCTTCAAGAAATCTTGTTCGAGTTTGAAATTGAAGTTGCTGTGTTTTTGCCTTTCGCAGATGCAATACTGGATGGAGCGTTTGGGGTGATTCCCGGACAAGGACACGAAGTGGAGGGCTGCGAGTGTTCTGTAATCCTGAAAAAGGAGCTGTCGTCGCTGTGCAAAGAGTCCAGGAACTGCAGGGAGTACAAGTATTAGGACGCCATCACTCAGCCCTTTGAATTGCTGGAGGATGGGAGGCGGCCGCTAATATCGAGAGGAGCTAAATGAAGACCTGAGGAGTCGTTGAACGATCTGTGTGAAATAGTCTTGTTCAACCATGTGGACATCTCCTGCAGCGGGGCCCTGTCTGCTGGCTGCTGCTGCGCTCCTGTCCAGTCTACTCTACTTTGTGACAGCCACGGAAGATGATGTCACACCACGCATCAGCTTCACCTATAGTAAGTTTACATGTTGATGCATGAAAAAACACAAGTTTAGGTGGAGCTTGGAAAATTATATAATTTAGAGTGTCGTTTAAAAGTGAATTTATTTCTGTAATTGTGAAATGTTCTACGGTAATTTTGGTTTGTTGATAGATTTTTTAGTGTTAGGGTTTTTACAAGCTGTGAGCCTATTATCAAAATTATAATTAATAATTGCTGTCTCTTTGCATGTAAAGTGAATGAGCTGTTGAGTTTCACCTGTATATACTGTACATAATAACAAATTAGGTTTAAGGAAACATAAATAAAACAACAAATTATTATTATTGATTTATGATTCAAGCATGTTTTAGGAATCTCTCTTCTCCTGAAGACCATTGCTGTGACAACCCCCACTTTCACAGTTACCAGTACAAGCTGTGAACTTCATTTTAACTTACCCTGTGCTACACATATTCAGAACTTTCAGGAAATTCCGGGATTTTGACACAAATTAAAATAATCTTCTCTCCAAAATGTCAAGATTGTCCCAGTGGCCTATGTTCATATGCTCTCACCATGGATGCCCCAAACATTAGCGGACATGATGTGTTGTTGCCAGCTATGCGAGCCTCGTGACCATTTAGCACGTTGTTGATTAGAGCGGAGCTAGAGCTAGATGAGAGTGAGCTGAGTTTATTGCACAAAGTGTGGATTTCTAGAAATTAAAACCAATAGATTTTAAAAGAAAAAAAAATTCATGATGACGAAGGACACTAAAATCCCCACATAATCCAACCTTTGTGGTTGGATTATGTGTAGGTTCCCTGTCATCTGAGGATGAGTCGTTTTCGTTAACATTGAGGTTTATGGGGAGGTCCCTTATGAATATGAGATGCAGTTCTGGGAGTGGCCCCTTGTTATTCCTGTTTAAGCTATAATGCCGTGCCCAGATAATGTACAATACAATACAATTTATTCTTGTATAGCCCTAGGTCACAACAGAAGTCATCTCAGAGGACTTAACAAAACCATTGAAATCACCAACACAGATCAGAGAATCAACAGTTAAAACACATGAAAAATATAAAGCACACACAGAAGAAAATGTTCATACGTAGAATGCTAAAGTGTCCTGATCATCACCAATCCTTTCTGTTGGACACTAACTGTGTCTAACTAATACAAATACAGTAGATTGTATATAGCAGATAAAAGTCCAATTTGTCTTCTTAAAACAAAGCTAAATGAAAAGTTATTTAACTACTGCCTGACGACCCCTAGTTTGGTCGTTTGAAGTGGTTGCGCAATTAGAGGTTTATCTGAGTGAAATTACTTTAAAATTGGTGCTTTCACAAAAGTTTGCCTTTTTGTTTGTTGACAATGCCAGTCCCAGATGGTGGGCGGCATTCAAACAGCTTTTCAGGTAAACATTTATCCATCACTTGTCCATGTTAATTTATGGTTGAGTATTTGAACCATGTAATTAGACTCATTAACCTCTTGTAAATGCTTTCACAGGCAGAAAAAAGCAGTATATTTAAACATAATCCTCATTTTCGTATATAGTGAAACCTAACATGGAGGGGCCTCTGTTCGTAGTGAGCGACAGCCCTGTTCGCTCCCTTTTGTGGCTCGCTGTCAAACGAAAACTTGCTAAGGCAGGTTCAGTGATGCCACCAGTCCAATTGTGCATTCACCGAGACATGTCAGAGATCACAAGTGCCTGAGGGAGCAGCTGGCAACTTGCAAACACCAACAGTGAAAACATCTCATAAATATGTGCAATTATAATTCTGTCCCCTGAGGATACCTACAGGATTAATCCCTCTATGTCCAAATATGTAAAGTTTGTGCTTTTTTCCTTCAGCTCAAACAAAATCAGGCCTGCTTCACATACCTATAGCATAGCGCTGTGATAAAACGCGTGTAATTCCCACTTCTACAACCACTTGTCTCGTCGTCCCTCTTAACCTGTTAAATATACTCGACAACATTTTATTCTCTGGGCATAAATGTAATGTCTGCTTCCACAAATCTGTCTGACCTTTTTGCTCTGTGCTTGATCATTACCTTTCATTGCTTCACTCACGGTGGCTGCAGCAATAAGTGCCTTTCCGTTGCATAAGCGCAGGTTCTGGGTTTGCAGACGGCTTCATGTATGAGAAATTAGCAACGGATGAAAATACAGCTTGACTTTATGTTGCACAAAATAGTGGTAATCAAATTGCCTCGACATTCGCGCTGGTGTTTCGTGTAAATAAATATGTGTGTAAGTACAGACCTTGCAGAGACGAGGGGAAATTGCATGTTTTTGGCACCTGTAAAGTGTACTACTGGTCTGATTTAGATGCTCCTCCTACACAAAGCAGTGGCACTGTTTTTCTCATAGTTACACCAACGTACTTCATTATAGAGCTCCATCAGAATTATGATAAATGAGAACCGTTGCTATAGGGACAAGAGTTTGTTTTGAATTACCAATCTTTTGAATGGTCCTCAAAATGGTTGAAAGGCCCAGTTATGTAACCATCTTGAGATTAGCCTGTAGCTCTCAATTTGTTACAAATTCTGCCTAATAAGGTCCACTAATAGGTTTTTTTTTATGGGCGATACTGATAATTAGTACTCAAAGAGGCTGATAACCGATATACGACGTCAGAAGCCAATATTCGCTTTCCCTAACAATAGCAAATATGTTGAAAATTGGAGTATAACTCAAAACAATTATATTATGTTCTCTAAAACAGGAGGAGTGCTGCAGGGTCCAAATGTTAAAGTAAAATCAGGTGCTCTTCAGGATGAGAAATAGCATAGCAAACAAAGATACCCTTTCTGTGGAAAAGTAAACACAGGGTAAAATCGGAGGCACTCTGATTAATAAAAAGTCCTTAAATGAGGGAAAGGGACCAACGCGTTTCGGCCGCGTAAAACAAAACAAAATGACTTCTGTACAAACTAGATCTGAAAGAGGCGAGTAAAGATCAATAGGGTCACAGCAGAATAGGACATATCTCCCAGGCAACAGATGTTGACTTGTATTTGATGTGATTCTGATTAAAAATACATCTAATGTCCTGTTATTAAAGTTAATTTTCACCTAAATTAAACTAAACTAAACTAATGAAGACAACACTTTGTTTGGGGCACATACGTATACATACAACTTATATACTGTACATACAGCACGTATACATACAACACGTATACATCCAACACGTATACATACAACATGAGGCACAGATCTTATGTTGTGAAATAAACACAATCAAACTAAGAGATCCCTTCCCTTTGAAGAAAAGTTAACATGGTAAAATTTAAACTATATGATATTATATAATCTTTTTTGCTATTCATTCTAATGGGCCACATTACCAACTTCAATCCTTTTGTTTTCAGTAAACAGGAAGAGCCAGTTAGTGAGTGCTTTTGTCCAGTAAATGAAGCAGTCCGTCTCCTAATGTGTCTGTATATCATCATTGAAGAGGATTTTAGTGTGCAGTTAAAGACAAGAGAGACTGAAGTTTGTGAAGTATAGACCTTTGGCTCGGCACACTCTTTCTCCTGGAAAGGCTCTTTGTCCTTCCCTGTTTCTCGCCGTGTTCCTGCCTTCTCTCCTAATGAGCGTTCTAATCTCTTATGTGTAGTGAGCAGGGGTTTTTGTGGTCCGTGCAGTGGGAGAGTCCGTCTGCTTTTCATTATGGCTCTTGTGCACGGAGGCTCCAGAAACTTGCTTATGAGAAGGCCGACTGTATAACGGCATGTATCAGTGTTATCAGAAACCCCTCGGGCAGGATGTTACTGCCTGTCTCCGGAGATGCTCAGATACAAAGATTTATTTTTCTTCCGTGTTTTCAACTGGAACAAAATGTGGTCACTCGCATTCATGAGCGTATAAAGGGATTGCATGGTGGCAGACTTATCTCAACAAAAAAAACATAACAAATACAGTTTTGTATGTAAGTAATCTTTATTTACATCGCGCATTTTACAGACCAAGGTCACCCAACGCGCTTTACAACAGTTGCGAGTTCAGACATTTGTACATTCACAGTGATGACAGAAGCAAGACGCCAACACACAGGTACATCGAAGCCCCCAATCAACACCATCCATTCACAAACTCATTCATTACATTCACACCTATTGTACATGTTTTTAGTGGTAGGGGAAACCGGAGCACCCAGAGGAAACCTACATAGACACAGGGAGAACATGCAAACTCCACACAGAAAGGCCTGGAGGTAGAATTGATCCCAAGACCTTCTTGCACAAGCTCAAAGTTTCAGCCTCTACCTTGTGCTCCTGTATGAATATTTTTGTGGTACAGTTTTGAATGTATATTGTCAATGGTCAGATCTGTGATAGAATTAGTGATTTAAACTTATCTCTAAGCAATATACTAAACTTAAACACTTTCCATCTGGCCGATATGCTACTCTGGAATGTAATACATTTCAAATGTAATCCTCTCAACCCCATAATGTATTTTACTCTAAACAATGATCCCAAAACGCAATTATTTATAATAATAACTACGTTTTATTATTGTAAATATTAGTTTCACTCAAAACTACAATCAATGCCCATATTTAGGTAAGAATTGGTTCTAATTCCTTCCATATTGTAAAAAGTAAAGATTGGTTATTTAGACAAAAGATGAACTATAAACAAACCTTCCACAAAGAAAATACTGTATTTTTTGGTGTTCACGTTTTCTTCTCTTTATGTAATAACCGCTGAAAATGACAGTACAGCTAACTAGCGTATTAGCAATAGCACCAAAACCTGTTATTTGTGGCTAAAAAGCTTTTCGTCAGCATGTATGAAGTGAAAGCATATTGACATGTGTAAGGTCTTTTAGTGTCCAAATAACCGCTATATAAAACTGATGTATTATTATTATTGGAAATAAAAGGTCAAACCGGCCATTGAAATTTGACATCGTCCGATCAAACTATGAAAAAACCCGGCCTCTTTCACAGAAAATCCATATCGGTCAATCTCTCGACTGAATATTATTGAAAGCTTTTGCC